ACAGCGCTTTATTTCCAATTTTAACCAGCTGTAGTTCAAACGATGAAAAGTGTTGACAGAAACGTTTCAGGGATTTTCAGTCATTCTGCACACCAGATGGGTTAATAGTGTTAAAAATGTTAATCGCATTGACCGTGATGGCGGATTAATTTGCATTATCGCATTAATTTTGACAGCACTAACTAGAAACTGTAGACCATGAGGAGTTCTATGGGGAATTCATATTATATAATAATTATACACATGTAATCCAGTATTTGTACTCTTGTGTCAGTATATGTTACAGCATGTTCTGTAGTCCAGAGCATGAGCACATATAACACAGTCACATCTGTCCTGATGTGAACCCACAGGCTCGTGCTGAGGAGTTTGGTAAACAGTCTGAATGATGTCTGACTGTTATTGTTATTGTGTTGTATTAAGTACCAGCTCTGCTTTGGATTTTGTGCCTGAACTTGTTGTGCAGGAAGTCCTGACCTTGTGCCTTTGAGCAGCAAACACATGTGAACATGCAGACAGACAGTGGGACGTGTCTGCAGACGTCTCCCTGTGTTAGCAGAGGAACATGTCCGTCTCATAGATGGACCGAGATCAGAGATGTGGAGACAGGAAATGTGGTTGCTAAGTGGTTGCTATGGGCACTGATGTGGTATAAAACAGGCCGATGGAGAAATCAGGGTCTGGTTAATTCAGTGACTCCAGGTTGTTGTGTTCTCTCTGCTCAGGTCACACACCTTTCTGCTGATATGGAGGAACAGTGGTGCTACTCTCAGTCCCTCCCAAACCCCCTCATCCCGTCTCAGATGGCCTTTCAGTCACTACTGTGTCTGTGACCAAAGGTGAACGTAGATGAACAGCAAGCTCTCTGTTCAACAGACCAGCACAGCATTGCTGCAGATTAACTTGTTTGGTTGTGAAGGGCTGCAGTCTTCCTCATTTAGCTCCAGTTTGGTGTAATAGCTAAAGTGTGACTGTGAGCTGCTGACACGGCTCTGGGTTAGCGTGCAGTCAGGTGAGTGAACATCGTCTCAGCAGTTTTCAGATTAACTGACATGTTTTCATTCTGGTTTGGACACAAAATCCAAAACAACATCATTTTATTATCATACAACATATATATCCATGTGTGGATCACATGTGGTTTGAATATAGCCGTACACAGTCAGGCACAGTGCGAGACATTAAAATGTGCTTTTGTGTGTGAACTTTAGCTCACAGCAAACACGACTGTGAGGCCTGGAATCCACATCTGTATCAGTGAGGGTGAGATTAAGCAATCCACCAGAATCATTCACACACGTGTGTGTAAACTGCAAAACCAGCTGCTGCACTAAAATGAGTGAATTTAGAGTTAAACTCATGAATAAGACAAAGAAACCACACACAGGAATGGCTCGCTTACGAGGAAGTTTAATCATTGTGACCTCAGGTGTCAAGTTCGGTGAAACGCTGCCCTCTGCTGCTCACAGCAGGAAGCACAGCCTCCAGCTTCAGCCTGTCAGGACTGGAAAAGCAGCCCTGACAGCAGGTCTGACCAGACACCATGAGTCACTGGTTAGCCTGGGTGCTGCTGGTGTGGTTGAGGTTATGGTGAAGCTCTGTGGACGGCCTTCTGTCCAGCATCCTCTGTCTTCAGGGTGATTTTCATCATCTGGATGCTGTGGTTGCCGGGCAGATTAGACCCGGCCAGCTCAGGTGTGTCGGCATCAAACTGGTCGAGCTGAACCTCGATGCAGCTCAGGTTCCACCTGTGCAGCAGCACCTCGATCGACCAGTCGGCGCTGAAACACACGAAGAAGAAGCTGTGAACTCTGTTTGCTCCGCTGCAGCTCTTTGTCATCAGTTGAAGAAGAGATCCGGTATCGAACCCTCAGGCTACGTGTCTGACTTTGTGACAGCTCCTTTGGCTCCTTCTTAACCAAAATAGGACTTTTTCAACACAAAACACTAAATAACTGCAACCGAGTGTTTATTTTCATGATTACGTACGATTGGTCCGGTGACTTTATGTTATTTTGCACATTTTAATGAAATATAATTATAATTTCAAAATGGAGTAAAAAGAATAAAAAAGAGTAAATATGGTCTTTTTTGTTGGTGTAATGAAGGATGTTCCTGGAGCGCACATTATCATGAATGAGATCACATTTTGGGTGTTAGCGTGTGCTTCGTCTCTCAGAGCTCCTTACGTGACTGTTACACTACAGAAGGAAAAACTTTTCCACATTAAAGTTTAGCAGCTTCAGTTTTCTTCTTTTTGTATTGAAAAAGATGAAAATGAAAAATGTGATTGTTTACATCAGTGATTCCTGAGCTGCTGCCCCCTGGTGGGCTGTGGAAGAACAAATTATTTAAAATAAATATCTAAATACATTAAAATGATTCAAATGGTAGTTTTGAATTAAAATTATTATAATCATTTTTAAAAGAACAATTTTTAATCTCATGCCACTTTCTGATCACTGAAATCGCACAGACTGGGTCTGAGGCTCGTGTAGTGATCAGAGCGGTGAAGGTCCACAGACTGAAACAGAGGAGCAGTCGTACCTTCGTACTTGGTACGTCGTCCAGAACTCGGCTTTGGGGTTTTTTCTCAGCAGGAAAAAAACGGTCACAAGGACGTCTTCAAAATCTGTAACAGGCAACAACTCGTCATCCTCCATAAACAATGTTTGTACAATCGTTTTACATCCTGGTGCATCAACAGGAAATATATTTACATTTCCAAGCGTCCTCAAAGAAAAACAGTCCAGTCAGATACGAGTGTGATTTTAGAGAAGCTGATACAGGAGCAGAGCACTTTATAAACAGTGGAGTAATATTAATAACTGCACTTTGTTCTTCCCTGATAACACAGACGGTCGACTCAGTCCAGGAGGTGACTGAGCTGTTTCACACCTGACTCACAAACACGCCCAGCTTCACTGAAATATCAACCGAACAATTTAAAACTACATAAGAATAATGAAGAAATACCAAACTATGATGTCTACGCTACGTCCAGATGAACAGAATCAACTTTTGGAGACCAAACTATGCAGCTGACCTTTGACCTACATGCAAGTCAACTATAACATTGTCAAAATCAAAAACACGTTTTTAGAAAATTTCTATCAATCAGGTTTGAAAGCGTGACGGCGTCTGAATACTTTGTTTTGCTTTCTGACAGGAAAATGTGCTGCGAACCTTCGGGATTGTAGAAGACGTCTGAGCCCAGGATGACGTCCAGCTCGGGGAGCAGGACGAGGTCCGGGGAGATCTCACCCCAGCTGACACCCACCACCGGCACGTCGCCGAGGTCGTTGGCTTCGCAGCTGCGCCTGCAGTTCTCCAAACACGCCGGTCTGTCAGCGGCATCTGACAGGATCACCACGGCACCGCACCGCGCCGCAACCACACCGGGCAGACTCACGCCTGCGCTGAGCTGAAACAGCGTTAACGCGACTCCTTTAGGCAGCTTTGCAGCTGGTTCGCTTTAAACCACGTGTTTCTCTGATGCTGACGAGAGTGGCTTACACACTACTAATAGTCTCAGGTTTATATTTGGCACCTAAAGTCATTTTACTCATATTAATTAAACCCCTTAAACTAAACTGTCTTCACTGAAATATTAATTTAAGGTTTGTCTTATCAAAATAACCTCGGACCCTCATTCGGTTCCACTGCTCTATGTTTGCACATCAAATGACTCCTCAGACGGATCGTTGACAGCTCTGCGATGCTTTGGATCAGTGTAACCTATCTCCACATGTGTGAGTCTGAATGTGTGCTCCTTCTCACCTCCAGCATCTTCTTCCCTCTCAGCTCCTCTCTGTGCATCCACAGATACTGAGCCAGCACCACCGCACACGGCCACACATACATGCCGAACTGCGGGTCGAGGACCTGAGGCACCAAAAGAATTTTGGTTTTGTGGAACAAAATTAACACATGCAGACATCTCATGGGCTTTAATCATCTGTTAACTGTTATCCTCTGACATCCGGTTGGCCAGCAATGATAATAAGTTGAGAAAATGAACTAATCAGTTGTTAAAGTGACAGAAAGCTGTGGTCCTAATTGATTCCACATCTAAGAAACTCAAGGCTTTTAGAGTTTCTGGCTTTTCAAATCACAAATGAGTCAATCCAACGTGTGCGCACAGAAACCTGACTTTATGGATTCATTTATTTACCTCCTGCCTTCCACTTACTGTGATATAACTGATGGAGGACACCAGGAAAATCAGCAATGATGGTCCAGTTTACAAAAATAAATATATTAGGCCGAATAAAACAGAGGACTCGAAGGTATCGTATTAAAACTTATGTATTATTTATGTACCTATGGTTAATTTCAATGAAGCATGATTCAACAGCATGCTGGTTAAATGGTTATAAATTTTACTTAAACACAAATATGCTTGTGTATTGCCTGTATGCTGTATTAAATCGAGGGTTTTAAAATGTGAAAATAGTCTCGATTTGTACAAAACTTAAATTTGACCACTTTTAAGGAGCTAACACGTCGATTTCTAAACAGCACAACAACGAATTTAATTTATAATGAAGCATTAGTTTCTCACTCTGAGTGTATTTTCTGTTGCTATACACTCGGTATAATGTTACATTTACAGGTTTGAACAGACCTCGGGTATGGAGACACAGAGGGACTCCCGTGCGTTTTTCCTCTCGTCTTCAAACGTGAACACTTTATAAGCTATGCTCGGCGTTTCGGTTCCACTGTCGGCCATCCTGTAAGCATACACGCTTTTACCTGACCTTGTTACATCTACCTGCCATCAGTCCAGTTCTTTGTTTTTAGGTATAAAACCCATATTTTTATTATCCCTGAAAACCTCATGCAACAGATAACGCCACATTGGAAACTAGTTCCGCGCAGACCAAAACAGAAAGGAGGGCGTTAAAACAGCCAATGAAAATCACGGGCGGGAAGGTTCACTCGACTGCCCAACCAATTGACACTTACCTTCCGGTAGCTTATGTGGCCAATAAACTACCAGAGGGGCGGTGGCTAATTGCGTAATCAGTTGCGAAAGCATTGTGTCACACAGCTAACAGCTAGCTGCTCCTGTTAGCTGTTTATCAAACTTTATCCGCCCGGCAGGTTTTAAGAGTTCTGTCTCATCCACCATCTCACATCGGAGGACGTGTTTATCACACACCCGGCGGGTGGCTGTGTCGTTTTATCAGAGAAACCCGGAGAAGGTGTGAGAACAGCGCAGTTAGCCGGGTGAGAGCGCAGGCTGTTGGATGTGTTTGTGCGGTATCACCGGGTTAGCTTGACAGCTAGCTGAGCAAAGATAAACACGCCGGGCGGAGGAATGAACCACAAGAGCAAGAAGAGGATCAAAGAGGCGAAACGCAGCGCCAGACCCGAACTGAAGGACTCGCTGGACTGGATAAAACACGGCTACCATGAGACCTTCGACCTGTCGCACCGTACTGTGAAGGTAACTGTTGATGCTAAGCTAACAGTGGCTAACAGGGGAGTGCAGCTTGTCACGTACACAATGTGGGAGACGTCGCCGCTGCTCCCGCCGCCGGCACGTGAGATGTTTGATATGAGCTCCTGTTAATGTCCGTCTGTCTTCATCACACGTATAACACCCGAGAGCCAACACGAATGTGGAGGAACAGGCGAAGTAAAAGTACTGATAGCCCGGGGATAGTATCAATAACACATACTTAAGGTGCTGGAAGTACAGCAGGTGTATCACAGAAGCAGACGGTTATATTCTCTTAATAAACTTTCTTAACATTCTATAAAAGTACTTGCGAAGAAACATCGATCAAAGTTTCGACCAAACTTTATTCATAAAGCACTTTTACAAACTGTAATTCAGACATCTAGTGGCCACTGCAACCGAAAACGATGAAACACAAAACACAGTAAAAGACAATACACTGGTAATGACCTAAAATAACCGTGTTATAATAACGACCCCGTAATATAATGTAAAAAGATTAATACATCAAAGATAAATAGTAAAATATTCATGATACAAAATAGAATGAAGTATATTGGGCACAAATACTCTTTATTTGTTCATCCACAGGAAGTGTTTTCCCTCCATTAAATATTAAAATTTTAATGATGTGCAGGATTTAAACATGGGAAGGTTTCACAGTTTGATCTCATGAAAAGCAGGAAAACACCAAACTGAGCTGCAGCTGTGTGACGTTCGGGAGTGGCATTATAGCTGTTATAAAAGACATAATGGTAATATGTAACGCGCTGTGCTGTGTTTCAGGACAGTGTGGAGCGCGTGGACACCCTCCATCTGACCACAGAGGAGTTCATCGAGCGCTTCGAGCGCCCCTACAAGCCCGTCGTCCTCCTTAACTGTCAGGAGACCTGGCCCGCACGGGAAAAATGGACGCTGGAGCGCTTAAAACGCAAATACCGCAACCAGAAGTTCAAGTGTGGTGAGGATAATGACGGTTACTCAGTGAAGATGAAGATGAAGTACTACGTGGAGTACCTGGAGTCCACCCGTGACGACAGCCCGCTCTACATCTTTGACAGCAGCTACGGTGAACACGCCAAGCGGCGGAAGCTGCTGGAGGACTACGATGTTCCCGTCTTCTTCAGGGACGACCTCTTCCAGTTTGCAGGAGAGAAGCGCAGGCCGCCTTACAGGTGAGCGGTCTATCTGCTCCGTCTCTATCCAATCAGGAGCACTTGCTCTTCATTTGATCAGCTGATTGGTCAGATCTCTAACCCTGTTGGCTGTAATTTGACCTCTTGATGGATTATTTGATATTTTTGATTTGTTCGGTTTTGTTTGGCTTTTGAGCCCTCAGATTTCACCAATATGTCGTCCCAGTACCCACATTAACCCTCTTGATTGCTGGAGGCAGATTAAACTCTAAAATAATCAGCGTCTTTAACTTCTATAATTGGCCGTGAAGCACCTGCAGCCGAAACCACAGCTGTTCTTTTATTACCTTCTACAGCAGAGCGCAAACTGGGCCTCTCCAGCCTATTTCCTCTTTCACTTATCTTTCATGTGAAGGCTTCTCGGCTCAGCATGACACCTTCAGTTCAGTTTGTTTGCTTTTACAAAGGTTAGAATTTTTTAATGAAATATTTTTCAGTTTGAATGAAGCAAAGCAGGAAGAACTGATGTGTGAAAGATGAAAGAGGAGGGCTTTGTAGTGCATCCTGAGGAGGACGGCATCATCCACGGTCACTTTCTGAAGCCGGGATAACTTCAGGCCTTTCCCTGACCTCATGACGTTTTCCACTGAGGCAAAGTGATTAGAAAAAGACAGAGGAGGTAGCTTCCTGCATCCAGCACGAGTCCAGGTCCGAGGGGCTCAAACCTGCATTCTGTCTCAGGTCCAGCAGGAACGACTCCTGTGGTTATAGTCTGAGAAAATGTGTCTGACCTCTGCAATGACTTTCCTGATGAGTTTATGGTTTCAGGTCTTATTAAATAAAGCTTGAGTTGAGATTGGAAATTGGAACAGGAAGTGGGGGAAAGTTTAAGGCAGGGGTGAGGGAACTCCAGGCCTCAAGGGCCGGTTTTAGATGTGTCCTTGATCCAACACAGCTGATTCAATGACCTGGTAATGAACTAATCATTTGATTCCGGTGTGTTGAACCAGGCTGATATTTAAAACCTGCAGGACACCGGCCCCAGAGGCCTGGAGTTTAAGGAGTGTTGTAGCAGTCATGAGCTACTGCCAATCTTTCGTTTCTCTGAGCTTGTGACGTCTGATTTCATTCGCTTAATTTCCCCCACAGATGGTTTGTGATGGGCCCGGCCCGGTCCGGCACCGGCATCCACATTGACCCGCTGGGCACCAGCGCCTGGAACGCTCTGGTTCAGGGACACAAGCGATGGTGTCTGTTCCCCACCAACACGCCACGGGAGCTGATCAAAGTGACGAGAGAGGACGGCGGCAACCAGCAGGATGAGGCGGTCACCTGGTTCAGCGTGGTTTATCCCCGCACGCAGCAGCCCACCTGGCCCGCAGAGTTCAGACCGCTGGAGATCCTGCAGAGACCCGGGGAGACGGTGTTCGTGCCCGGTCAGTGAGGATGTGCTGTGATGGCTTCTGTCCGTAGGGACGCTCTTGATTCATTTTTAATTCAGTTTATCTGTCCGTCCGTTCTTTTTGGCTTGTCCTTGTCAGGGTCACGGAGGGGGGCTGGAGCCTATCACATCTAACATGGGGTGAAAGGCGGGTACATCCTGGACAGGTCGCCAGTCTGTTGCAGGGCTAATTCAGATTTTCAACAAAAACAAAACGCAGAAAATATACAGAAAGATCAGTCAATCCTACAAAGTGGTGTTGGTGTGTTTGCATGCTGCTGTTATGCTGTTTAAACCCTCTAACTCCCAACCTGTTAGCCGCCCCTCCCTGAGCCTGGTTCTGCCGGAGGTTTCTTCCTGTTAAAGGGAGTTTTTCCTTCCCACTGTCGCCAAAGTGCTGCTCATAGGGGGTCACATGACTGTTGGGTTTACTCTGAATTATTATAGATACAGTGGGATGCAGAAGTTTGGGCAGCCTTGTTCATAGTCATTATTTTCCTGTATAAATCGTTGGTTGTTACAATAAAACGGGGCTGGATCTTTCAACAAGACAACGACCCGAAACACTGCTCAAAATCCACTAAGGCTTTCATGCAGAGGAACAAGTACAACGTTCTGGAACGGCCATCTCAGCCCAGACCTGAATATTATTGAAGATCTGTGGTGTGAGTCAGAAGGAGAGCTGTCCATGCTCGGAAGCCATCAATCTCTCT